ATTTTGGACCAGCTGAATTATGCAAGGCAAAACCCATAAGTGAATCAAATCACACAAGATATTTCAGCTTTTGAGGTTTTACGAGCACTGGTTGGCACAGTGCCTGTTTGTACCTTTTACCATCACACGAAATGACTAGCCCTACAACCCAGTGACACGGATAGAAATCTCCTTATACCTTTTGGCAAATTTCTATTACTGATTATCCATAAAATGTATAAGTCAACTAATAAGCAGACACCTTGCAAAAAGTTAATGAAGATCATGTATCAAATGAAATGTATAAGCGGTCACACATACCTTTAATGAATTCGTATAGGACCTATGTGGTTTGTCTTATGGAATGTATAAGGCTGATGTTTTGGCAAAAATGTATAAGTGAAACACATGAATAAAGTAAATAAATTTCGTTTGTTTTGAAAATCTTCGCAGTCACGTTCGAGGGGAATGAGCAAATGAGCATTCTCCATCGACGAATACGTGTTAGTTGAGGTTCATCAATGCTTGAGTTTCAACCCGAAATTTGCGAAATCGGAAGCGATCCACATAAGTAAAAACATCAATTTAATTTCGGGCAAAATTATTATTTTGAATATTGTCGCAGAGGCTAGAACCTCGATAAAACTATAAATTCTGCATGAAACAACACAAGCGATGAAAATCTATCCACGGTTGAACAAAAACAAATGTTGAATTCAAAACTCAGTGGTTGCCTTGATCAAAAGAATGTTGTTATGTCAAAATTCAAATTAGTGCAGGTAGTTGGTTTATGTTTATGTTTAGTGAATGACTCTACCTTCGATGCAGACAATACAGTCAGGAATCATTATTGCCGGGGTAACGGGGGCGTGAATATGGAACCGCGAATAAGGATACCCACAGCTTATGGAATTTTCACTAATGGGGGCTGTAGTGGATTATCTCATTTGTTTCAATACATAAAGCTGTACTGTCTTTGACAAAATTGCTGTACTGGGTTAGACCAACAAGCCTGTGCCATTGGATTTAGGTTAAACCGGGTACTACGCCGCTAGAGGCGCTTCACTTTTATATTACTTATGACGGGCGCTATAATATATGGATCATATTTCCAACATAGAATATTTCGTGATCCTAGCCTCAAGGTTGCAAAGACTCATTTCAGCTAAAATAATGGTTTTCGGAATAATAAAACCAAAAGATGGTATGATGGCATGTTTTACTTGTAACTTACAAGAAGAGGTTACAAAGTATGCGTTGGAAACATAAAACCTGTAAATTTTGCTTTCTATGAGTCACAATCAGCGATTTGCTGATCGCTGAGTGAGTGAGTGAGTGAGTGAGTGAGTTTGTGAAAAATCGCTGATTGTTACTCTTATGAAGTGAAATAAACAGGTTTAATATGTCAAACACATTCTTTGCAACCTCTTCTTGTATCCTACCAATTCAAAATTTGATCATAGCATCTAATTATTTCATAATTTAGAAAAACATTGTTTTAGCTGAAATGAGTCTTTGCAACCTTGCCTAGCCTTATAGAAAGTTACTGTCTTCAGCAAAGTTGTTCAGATGACCAAGTTATTTCGTATGGTGGCCATATTAGTTCAGAACTCTCTCACTACGCAGCGCTAGTGTGCATGTGCAATTCCTATATAAACTGTATCTCGAGAGCCTGGCCATACAGAAAGTTGCTGTTTTGAGCAAAGTTGTGCAGGTGATCAAGTCCTTTAGGATGATGATCATATTAGTTCAGAACACGCTCACTACGCGGCGCTAGTGTGCAAGTGAATTTCCTTTATAAGCTGTATCTCGAGAACCTGGCCATATAGAAGGTTACTGTCTTCATCAAAGTTGTTCAGGTGACTAAGTCCTTTAGGATGATGGTCATATTATTTCAGAACTCTCACACTACACGGCGCTAGTGTACACATGAACTTCCTTAATATGTTATGTCTCGAAAGCTTGTCCATATAAGATGTTGCTGTGCAATGTGAGAACAGGAACCGGAAAAGGGATGACGTGTAGAGACCGGAAATCGATGTCAGATGCCGTTTTGGAATCCAAGATGGCGGCCATCGGGTCAAGAAAAACTGTCAAATACTCTACAATATGAGTATTTCCGGAAAGGAAACGACGTGTAGGGGCCGAAAATCGATGCCAGATACCATTTTGAAATTCAAGATGGCGGCCATCGGTTCAATCAAAACTATCAAATACCCTACAATATGGGTATTTCCGGATAGGGGATGACGTGTAGAGGCCGGAAATCGATACCAGACACCATTTTAAAACCAAGATGGTGGCCATCGGTTTTAAGAAAAACTGTCAAATACCCTACAATATGTGTATTTCCGGAACGACGTGTAGAGGCCGGAAATCGATATCAGACGCTATTTTGGAATCCAATATGAAGGCAACATGTTTTCCATAAATAAGGCTTACCAAGCATATTGCGTATAATTTATTGCGTATAGCGTATCATTGAGCAAGATCGCAACGTAACGTGAAAAATTAATCAAAACAATAAAACGCTTTGATTTGTTTTGTTTTTTTCTATCGTAAACTACAGATTTATTCCACATTTTATTTTCTCTTTCGATAACAAAGAACCAACCAGCGCTGTCATGCTTTATGAATTCTAGTCAGTGCTGTAAATTCTCAAAATCATTTGAACATTTTTGATGAAAATGAGAAAAGTAGCTATTCGCTATCAAAGGGGACCTCCTCCGAATGGGTGATATCAGTTGCTTAGTCATTTGACGAAGGCATGGATCATTCTCATTTGAGAAACGCTATATATCATTCGATTGAGTGTAACCTATACACAAACGGAGCTCTGGTCGACATTCCGGCGAAAAAGCTAAGCCAACCCGACACCAACCTGACTTCTATCAAACCCCAACCCGATGTTAACCCGACATTGACCCGGCATAAACCCAAAATTGACCCGACATTAACACGACATTGGGTCGTCATCGACCTTAAATTAGCCTTACATTGATCCGACATCGGGTCGACTTGTCGGTTCGGGACCATTTTCCTGGATTTCTTCCATACTCCACTGTCGTATATCAAATGATACTGAGTGACTCAATTGACAGTGACAATGAGCTTCGAATGAGAAAGGGGCTCTTCAAATTATGGTCATGTGAGAATTCGTTTACACAGAATTGATTGAATGGTTGTAGTGGTTCATTTTCAATCGAATGAAATGAAAATTTACAGCACTGATTCTAGTCACTCTCGTTCTTCCACTCCGTGCAAATCTTGCATTTTTGCACTCCGTTCAACATTGCTGTCCAATGTGCAGAAACTTTCGACCTCGGAGAGTTGATTTAGTTTTAACTCAATTTCTTCTACACCAGGTGGTGGATGAAAATATCATCCATATTCACTGTAGAGGGGTCCAGGAATAAATTTGTAGTTAACGATAGAAAAAAAAAACAAAACGAATCGAAGCGTTTTATTGTTTTGAGGAATTTTCCCCTTTACGTTGCGATCTTGTTCAGTGATACGCCATGTCAGCATTCCGCTAACAACCCAATTTCATTACTTCATTATGATGGCTACCAGTTGTATAGATTTTTCTCCTTTAGTTTACTTAAATCTTTGGTTTTTATTAGTTAGGTAGGTTCTGATTCAACACATTGGAGTTTAATTTTTATACCAGTGATCTTGACTTTTTTACCTAGGGATGAGTACTTAAGGGGGTTAGATTTTGATAAGTTCTTTAGTGGGAATGACACTGATAAAGACTGCATATTGTAGTCGAAATACGTATCTGTCATGGATACCAAAATTAATTAAGTGGAATTAAATGGAAGATAACCTTTTTTTCCTTTATTAATAAATTGGTTTGATCGAATAGCTGTAAAATAGTAATAAAATAAAAAAATGTGTGCAAATTGTTTGACGAAAATTAAGGCAAACGTTATGTAATAGTCTATAAACCATAAAGTAATGAATGGCCAATCGGATTGTCGGAGACCTCTTCAGAAGTCATTGCTTAAACCTGAGAGATGTCCTAATGTTGTTCGAATTATATAATTTTTTTATTAGGGTAAGTAAGCTTGTTATGGCATATGTATCATTTATCACATATTATACATGCAATTGCTCCAGTTTTTCGCCCTACCGAATTGAATCACATAGGCCATGACTCGTACATGCCAAAGCTGCAATTTTTTTCGTCCATATTTTTGATCTCAAATTGCTACCAAATTTAGCGCAACTTGTTTCAGAAAAATGCAAATACGGGGGCATTGCAATTTCTGTTCTCATCCTAAATGAGGATAAAAACGACAAAATAAATATCGTGTCAAAACATATTATAAAGGGTGCCCACAGATAAATGGCTTCGCTTTGAAAAAGTTGTAATATTTTGCCCTTTGGGATAATTTTAAAGAAATTTTGGGTGAGATGGCCTCAGCGTGTATTGTTTACACTGAGTGAGTTTCAAGAAATATCTAGTAGTTTTGAAAATGGAGCCGAAAGAGCAGCGCGTGTGCGAGAACATTTTGCACACTCACCTAACCCATATCTTTCACACCGAGCCATCGCAAAGATGTTGGGAATCCAACAATCTACTGTTTCTCGTGTCATAATACGTTTCAGAGAACATTTAACTGTGGTCAATTTCGTGCCGAAGAATCTCAATCCCCCAAAACAGACCGGAGTTGCGGTCGATCGAAAGATACTGGGCTGTAATGAAGCACGATTTTCGTAAGCATCCTAAAGTTTTCACTACGGGGCAGGAAATGTTGAAAAGCATATACAAAATTCGATTCAACCGTTGTAGAGAAATATAATGAAATAAAGATACGTAAACCAAGCTTATTTATATAGCATTATATTCCCAGAAAATTCGGTTGAGGGACTTATTTTTGGCGAGTACTTCTAAGTGCCACAATTTAACTGTGGACACCCTTTAGTGTAATTATATTCCTCGATAATTTTGATATTTCACGTACGTAGGTGCCGTTTCTCAAGCTCAAAAACACAAAGGAAATGCATAAACTTACCGTTGGTTGCGGATCTGCATGGACAATGCACTCAAGCTGTGCCTCAAATCCTTCTCCAGAGTGAATCCAAGACTTATCCACACTGATGTCGGGTGGATCTGTTTGAGGGAAAATGGAAAGCAATAAAACATCGTTAGCGGAAACATATAAAATCAATTTTCATCATATGTTAATTTTTTGTATGCGCAAATTGATAAGTTCAACAATTTTATTAAGATATGTTATTAAGCTATAACTGTGTTCCCACTCAGTCAACACCAATACGATAACCCGGTTTAAGAGCGCAGAAAAATGCGCAGCTCAAATGAGAGACAGGGAAATTAAAAATTACTTTTATCAACAGTTCTTTTGTAGTATAAATTGATGACTTCTACCAAAGCATTATCGCACGCTGCAGTTGCGAAATACGGTCCTTTCTTTTTTTTTCTCTTCTAGCCATTCCAGAGGGCTTGCGATCCTTGTTGTATAATTCATTTTGCCTGTGTAGCTACCAGATGTGAGTGGGCGTAGATGATGGAGGTAGACTGACGGGAGTACGGGCGGAGACGCACTGAGTGGAATTTTTATTCCTCTCTTAATTATTATGCATCGATAAATCTATGCTCCTGGGGCATTCCAAGGCTACATTCAAATGGGCATCGAGGATGCCGTTTATTACCCGCCAGTAGACATTGCGGCTGATTAATAGTCTGTTTTTTTTTACCTAGAAATCATTCATTTTAAGATACATAAAAGGAGTGAACGGTTTGCCGTACACTTGTGAAGGGTAAACTGTTAGTACAGTTTTTTTTTAAACTTGGTCATCTGTCACTAGTTATTTGGAAGGGGATGCAATTCTGCCATGGTTCAACATAATGTCCTGTCGCAAAATATACGATACTCCTCACCGCTTTACGCTGTTTCAAATTCAGACCCTTCTTCCCAAGTAATCAAAAGCATTAACGCAGAGGCTTAAATCAGCTACATTTCAGTATAGTTATTGCTAAATAAACTTGTGGGGATCAGGACGGAAATTCACGAAACTTTTATGTTTTAGAAATTTGTATGGACCGTAGACACTCGCCAAATTCCCTTTAAAGTGTCTACGTAGTTTATGAATAGCGATAAGCGAAGTGATGCCAGATTTTTTTGAGATGGATTCCGTGGATGTCATAACTTTTGATATTGTTTTGGCAGGGTGGAAGTGGGATTTTGGCAGGGTGCCAATCAGTATTATAAAGGGCGCCTATTCTTTTTATTTTGCAAAATCCGTATAATTCTGTAGAAAACACAAAAATCCGTATAATTCCGTACAAAAAAATTCCGTACACAGATAAACATATTTTGTAATTTTCAGCTACAAACTAGAGCAGGTTTTTGAATATAAAATTACACGTGTAACGATCAGTAATTCAATGAATTAAAGCTAGTTTAGTTTAGTTTAGTTTTATTTATTAACGAGACTTTCAGTGTTGAGCTGGTTCGTCCCGTACGTTTAGCCACTTAGTTACATAGTTTACAACTGGGTGGGACTCCAGAGTAGAGTTCCCCAAGTGAATGAGTTTAGGATTGAGGCCTCATAAGGAAGCCAGTAAGTCAGAGCTTGGAAGGTTGGAGCCCCAGAAGAGGGCCTTCTCTAAAGACGCACTGAGTGGAGTTGTAGTTTAATCAGAATTGTTTCCGTCGTAGTTGCTGCCATAACTATCATCCGGTTGTTGATAGCATAATTCGTGTGGTGTTGTCGTATAGATCATCCATTCTTTGGTGCAAGCAATGGAAATATTTACCTTATTTGACAAAACCCAGATAATCATGACAATTTGAATGAAGAAAAGAGACCTACTGCTGGCATGATTACCTGAGATTTGTCAAATAATGTAAATATTTACACCGATTGCATCGAAAAATTGGCGGTATCCATATGAAAATTAGAGAGTAGGCCGGGTATTGTCCGTCATCAATGTTCGTTTTAAGCTCTTTGTTGGGTTGTACAAAATCTTATCGGGTTCAATGGGCAAGTGTTAGATGTTTTCCAGTAGTCCATCTTTTCGAAAAAAAGAGTAATGTCGTGATTCTGGTCAGGTCCTCGCTAAGGGTATCTCTGATACTTCCTGATATGTCATAAAATTCGAGGAGCCTCTCATATTATGGGCAGTGGCTTATGATGTGTTCTATCGTGTGCGGGACATGGCAGGTGTCACACATCCTGCGGAAATAGTCGTTCCCATATAAGTTATGCACAGCAAAAAAAAAACTGAATTTTAATTGTAATGTAAGCATTCATTCACGTAAACTTGTATTTCATTTCACGCAAAGGAGTAACTTGTAAGCAACGTTGTTTACAAAGATGGTATACAATATGTTCAATTTTTCATGAAATGTCTCAGAACTTTACACGCTTTTTAATTTTAAATGTGTGGGAAATGTTAGTTTGCCCGTTGTTAGGCGAGACATCATGATCTGGGTACGGTGGCCTCGTGGGTCCACCTACCTATGTGTGTCCCGCTTGATCTTTTGAATGAAAGTATTCAAATCCTTGGCTGGGACCTCCCGGGTGTACATAGGAACTTCTTTTCCAAAAGCCGCCAGTTGGTCTACCTTTATATATTCCCGCGGCCACCGCAGTGTCCAGTGATCCAGATAAAAACGGTGTTTTTGCAGTGTATTTCTGAATATCTTGGATTCAGGGATGCTTGGAAACATCCGATCCCAGGGCCTCGACAACACTAACGGAATCCGTGAAAACCGCGATTGGTCTGCTGGCAGCGATAAAAGCAGCGGCAGCGGCAGCGGCAGCGTCCACCGGAAAGACGGTGTATTGGTCCGGTAGCTCGTGGCATACAGACTTTTGAGGGTTTGTAATTCCTATACGCCCGCGAGCTGTGGAGCCGTCGGAATATCGGATTGTTTGGCCATTTTATACGGTTCGTTGAAGTTCTGCTACCGTTTTCACTAGTGTGGGGGAGTCGGATCCTGCCCTAAACTTCTTCTTAATTTCCAAGTCAATCACGGGTCTGGGTAAGTTCCAACCCCTTGCTCCGCACCAGTGGACCCTGGCCTCCTGGGGGGGGCTCTAGATTGACAGTTTTATAAATGGGTAATTTTGCCTCGGTGAGGAGGAAAACACCCTCGTCAGGACAAACTGTCTTCTCGGCCAATTATCTGCCCGCTTACAGATAGTCTGTGTGGCCAGTCGGTCGACAGGAAGCATTCTGCTCTCGATGCAGGTGGCCACGTTAGGTGTGGACGGAAGATGACTAGAACAAATCCGGATAGCTTCTCGGACTGCGGGAGCTAGTTTTCCTGTCGCTGCCGTCCCTGTATTCTTAACTTTGTCCTCGATTTTCAGGCTTTTGGTCAGCTAGGTATTCGAGGCATTCTGCGTTAGTCATCTTCTCCATCCCATGGCAATTAATTACACATCGGACATAGTTGATCGTGATCTACGTTCCGTCCATGAGCTTGTTGAAGAGCAGCAGCTTGTCTATTAGCTCCTTATTCCGTACCTTCAGAGCGTATGTGAGACCACGAGCTTCCGGAAAAGCTCCATCAATCATTACGGTGATGTGATTTTCCACTGATTTGCGAAGGATGAAGGGACTCTCCGGTAATTTACCGGACACTGGCTCTCTCAAGGTGGAAAGGGGTGACTCCCCATCACATGACCGATAGTCTCTGAAAAATTACACGATCATGAACATTTATATCGTTGTTCGTTGAACATTCAATCTATTTCCATTGAACTTTCAGTCATGTGAGAACACATATGCATGAAATTTCAATACTAATTGATGTATTATTAAATGCTTTAACGTAAAATTAAAGTAGTATTGCTGCATGTTTTTACTAAGGCCAGAAAATACATCAAACTGCCAAATGTAAATTTACAAAATGTTTGCTGTATAGATTTCATATAGATCTATGGAAATTTCCGTAGATCTGGCATCGTTGGATGTAAATGTTGGCAACCAAGGCAATCGAAACGGTTGGATGCAAGGAGTGAAGCTGCCGGAAGCCCACCACAAAACGGAAGTGCTATTGGTCAGTAACCGGGGGACTCTATCCCTGTCAACCACAATGATACACCGTAGCTTACATGATTTTGACATTTTTGGACAATCTGACATTTTTGAGCATACTTACAGCGATAAAACTGACGTAGGAACGACAGAACAAAACAGCTTACTCTTTCACACTTGGACTTGGCACTCGGCTCTGGACCAAACAGTAGCAAAAGGCTTCTTCTGACTAGTGTGTATTCGTCGATACTGAGGTACGGAGGTCCAGCCTGGATTGCAGCGCTGGAAACCAAGCGGAATCAAGAGAATTGAATAATACATTCAGGCTCATGGCCTTGCAAATCGTGAACGCGTACAGAACTATCTCGTCGGTAGCAGTATGCGTAATCGTCCTATCGGCATCACCCTGGTGGAGGACAGCGAGTGCGGAAAATGGTAAGAGCGGAGACGCTGGCCAAGTGGTAGCGGGAATGCGACATAGCGGAGAATGGTAGATTCTTTCAACCTGGGTGAACAGAAAGCCTGGAGAGCTAAACTTCTGCCTGACGCAATTCATATTGGGTCATGGCTGCTTCAAAAAGTACGGATACACAACGTCACCCTTCTGTCCGGAGTGTGGAAATGTGGAGGAAACACCAAGATACGTGGTCTTTGATTTGAAGCAGTGCGAAGCAGTATCGTCGCCGAAATGTATCGGAAGGAGGGCACCTGGAATACCGTCAACAGGGTATTCACTCAAATTCTGTTGGAGTTGCAACGTAAATGGAGAGACGAGCAGTTATATAGCAAAACCGGCTAGCACTGAGATCATGAGATGTGAATGAGCATGCTCCACGCTCTCAAAAAGGTATCGGAATCACCGGCGCAATTGTTTTTGTTGACATTGCTGCTGGCTGTTTCGTCGCATCGGAATACGATTTTTGAACAAGCAGCTTTTTGTTCTGCATACAGGACGCGCCGATGTGGATGAATTCCCGGCAGTGTCGGCAGGTTTGACGTTGGCCAAAATTGAACATAAACGTCGATTCACCGTCTACCAAGACCCACGACTCAATGCAATGAGATAATCGGAAATTGAAATTGTTGATCGCTACCGCACA